ACAAAATTCTTGCTGTAATGGAACACCCTTGTAGAACGGAGCATTCTACGTGGGGGATGGGTAATTAAATTGTTTCTAGCAAAAGAGATCAATGAAATGCTGTATTTAAAAACAAGTGAACTTTGCCCAGCTGGTGTAGCTCAGTGGTTGAGTGTCGACCCATACACCAAGAGGTCACTGGTTCTATTACCAGTCAGGGCACATGCCCAGGATTTGGGCCTGATCCTCAGTAGGGGGCATGCAGGAGGCGGCCAATCGATGTTCTCTCTCATCGATGTTTCTCTCTCTCTCTCTCCCGCTCCTTTTCCCTCTCTCTCTAAAATCAATAAAGAAAAAAAAAAAGTGACATTTTTTTCAGGTATGGCTTCTAGTAGACCGAGGAGCGGAAACTCATATCCTAAAAGTCTGCTTGTATAACCTGAGGGGTTCTACCTTCAGAACAAATTGTCTTTGGTGGCTCATGTTTGATCTCAGTTTATAAGGTTTATATTCTCTATAGCCATGTTTGTTTTAATACAAAAATAGTAGTGGATTTCGGTTTATTTTCAAAACCAAATATCCCCACACTAGAGACGCTCCTGGAAGCAGCCCTCAGCTGGTCTCATGGCTTCTAACCCCAGCACAGTGATGTGCCAGGGGGTGTGCAGCCCCAGCTTGTCAGGCAGCCAGCAAGAGATACTTGCAATGTACAAAGTAGGGATTGCTATCTTAACTTCACTTTAAAATGAAATATTTATTACATTTTAACACAAAGGAATTCCTAATGCAAACAATAAATGGCTGAATGCCTCCCTGGCCAGGTAACCCTTGTGAAATGTAGAAAAGTAACACGTTAAAAACAAAAGCCAAACAGTACAGAGAACAGAATGAAAAATGGAAAGGACCCTCACCTAATCCTTTTAGAAAAAAAAATTTTTTCTTATACATAGCTGTGTATATGTATGTAAATATTACACAATAGGAATGTGATGTGATTTATAATAAGAAATACATACTTGGTCTTCATCCCAGTTCCTGGCACAGAATTCCTAAAACCCTTGGAATTTCCTAAGGGAAGTAAGCCATCAAAGGTGACTGTTGTGATGTTAATTATGTGATTTTTGGAAAACCTCTAGCTAATCTAAGGATAGGCCTGTTTGCAAGAGGAACTAACCAGTGATTCGAGGTTTGTAACTTTTCCTTTGACACCCAGACCTCTGGGGAGCAGAGAGGGGCTGGAGGTTTTCAGACACCAATGGCCACTGATTTCATCAGCCATACACATGTAATGAAGCTGCCCCGAGAAAACGGAAGGAAGGGTTCTCAGAGCCTCCGGGTTGGTGAACATGTGGAGGTGCTGAGAGTGTGGTGGCCTTAGAGAGGACATGGACGCCCTGTGCCCTTTCCCGTGCCTTGCCCTGGGCATCTCTTCCATCGGGCTGTTCCTGACTTATATTCTTTCATAGTGAAGTGATCTAGTGAGTAAACTGGTTTCCCGAGTTCTGTGACCACTCTGGCAAGTTAATCAATCTCAAGGGTGGGATTGTTGGAAGCTTCTATTGATAGCTGGTTAGCCAGGAGCACAGGTGACAACTCAGACTTGTGATTGACATCTGAATCGGGGGCAGCCTTGTGGGACTGAGCCCTTGACCTGTGGGATCTGACACTGGTTTCAGGTAAATAGTGGCAAATCGCACTGAATTGTAGCACACCCAGCTGGTGTCTGAGAATTGCTTGGTGGTGTGGGAAAAGCCATCCTGAAGGAACTGCACACACTGTTTTGAAACTTGCTTTTTCACTTTAAATATCAGCGTGCTTCCAGGCCAGTATGGGCAGGTCATCCCTTGGCTGCAGAGAATTCCTTGGTGTAGATTTTATTTAACCTACTCTGTTGCTTTATAGCAGTAGTAAATTTTAAAACACTATTTATGTTAAGCATATTTATGTAACTATCACAGTAGGGAGGTTACAGGAAATAAAACACAATGTCAAGGAGATGCTTATATTGGGTGGGAGACCAACGTCTAACTCTGTTATTTCTGTCACTTGGTGGTGGCCTGGTCAGGTTCAGTCTTGTGTCTTTCAGTCCCTGAATTCTGCCGGCCACATGGAGTAACATAGTAGGAGAGACAGACTTGGAGCGTGTCTGGGAGTTCTACTTCCAGAGCAGACACACAGGAGCTTAGGATGAGGTTCCTCAGGTTTCTTCCTTAGAAGACTTCAGTCTGCAATGGGGCAGGGAGGCACATGGGTAGGTCATTTCAGTAGTGTGGTGGGTGCCATGGCAGAGGTGTGCTCAGGATGTTGTGTAAGCAGGCGTGGGGACACTTAGTCCACATACAAGTGTGTGTGTGTGTGTGTGTGTGTGTGTGTGTGTGTGTGTGTTGGAGGAGGTGATTGAGATCTTCTTGGAAGGACAGTGCTCAAGCTGAGTTGCTAAGATCAATGGTAGAGGAAAAGAGAAGTGCACTCCAGGCCAGGAAAGAAGGGCTAAGAAGTAGCATGCAGAGTTGGGGGATCACAAGTAGTCTAGTGTTGTCAGAATATGAAATTTAAGGCAGGAAATGAGATCTCTCCCCAGATGGAGGTCTGTTTATGAAGAGCCTTGCATATCATGCTAAGGAGCTGGGAATTCCTCATTAAGTCCAAAGACATACATGTCCCTTATATATCAATTAAATACCCTGAATATTTATCATCATGCTTTGGAACTCTGGAAAACATAATTCCTTCATATGCTACATATGGTACAACTGTTTGCTTAATTATCTATTGATATTGAGCCCTAGATTCTCAGGTGAATGTCTGATTTTACATCATGCTTCAGAATAGCCAAAGCTTTTCACCAATGACTGCCCGAGCTCGCTGCATGGGAGCACCAAGTGATAGTGTAGGTGAGTGAGCTCAAGTCTATCACCTCTATCAGAAAAGCAGCTGAGAATAAGTGGCCTGAAGCATCTTTGAGTATATAAGATAGCTCATCACTGTCATCACTCTCATTTTATAAAATGCAGGAACATGGCCAATCATATGAAATACATTTCTTGTGTTTGGGTTTAAAAAGAGAACTGGAAGGAGTGTGAGTATGGCGATTTGAGTAGTAGTTGCTATTTATTTTACTTGACTATTGAGACCTTTTACTTCTAACCATCCATGTTGTTGTTATTATTATTATTATTTTTAATCCTCACCTGAGAACATTTTTCCATTTTTTGTTCAGATAGAGTGGGAGGGAGAGAGAGAGAGAGAAACATCGATGTGAAAGGGACACGTCGAGTGGTTGCCACCTGCACGACCCAACCAGGGCCGGGGACAAACCGCAACCGAGGTACATGCCCTTAGTGGGAACTGAACCCGGGTCTCTCTGGACCGCAGGCCGACGTTCTAACCGCTAAGCCAAATTGGCCAGGGCCATGTTATTATTTTTTTAATGGCAGGCAAAACTATCAGTTATCTAGTATAAGGTTGGTGAAAGGCACTGGAGAGAAGCAAATCTGGAAGAGAGGAGCTCAAAGGGGAAAACCTCACTACTTTACTAAAAATAGAGATCCATCCATTTTAAAACCAAAACAGGATCTGGAAATAAACATTGTTTGTAAGAAAGGTGCATTTTTATAGAAAGGAAGGCAGTGTTCCCTGTTGATCTTACCACAGCTCATTTATTTATACCATTTTACTTATTTTTCTCCTCGTATAAAACTTTTTCTCTGAATCATCCAGAACGGAATTCCAGGAAGATATGTTTATGTTGCTCTAGTTTAAAGTTGTCACCTGCAGTGTTTTATTTAGCCAGATCTTCATTTTTTCCCTGCTCCCTGCACAACATGGAGCACCATATGCCTTCATCCTTGTCAGGAGGCAAAGGTTTCCCTAGTCTGTGCCTGTGCCTATCTGTGTTCACGCCACAGAGGAGGTGTGGTCCAGTACCATCTTTTATTGATGGGGCCAGCAAAGGAGAAATCTAATGAAATTATCAAAGCTCTGAATTAATTATGAACTTGAACAGGAGAGCTAAGCTCTCTGGAGCCAAGGATCTCATTACCCATGCACTCTCCTTGCATCGTCCTCTGGAGCAGAAGGCATTTCAGCTACAGCTCTTAGCTTGGCTTTGGACTTGGTTCAAAGTTGCTAAACTGACATCATCTTCTTGCTACGATGTGCCTGCGAATGTCCATGATGATTAATATAATTCTGCTCTGGATCTACAAGAGTTTCTCTACCCCTCCTTTTCCTTTTTATTGTTTTTTTCTTTATTTCTCCTTTCATCAGTTGGATATTATACAAGTTCCTATCCTTTTTGAATAATGTGAGAAGCTTTTAGGATTCAGGTGTAGCTTCATGGAATACAGTGATTGATTTAAAGTTAAGAGCTGTTATATCTACTGTGTATTCCCTGGATATTTAGGTAAGCAAAGTCAAATATTTCTTCCTTGAATTTTGAACACACAATAGAAGCTTTTCTTGCTTGTTTCTACCTTAGAATTAATAGAATTTTAGTGACTTTCGTGGTCTTAAAACATTGTTCATAATTTTCATGTGTGTTATATGGAAGTCACATCTCACTTTGTTGGGTGTAGCTCCTAGGACTTAGGCTCCCTGATAGAGAATAGCTAATGTTTTCTTAACAATTCTGGTTTTCCTCTTTCCAGTAATATGAAATTTTTTATGAATAAATCACCCTCTGATTGATTCTTTTAACTCTAGTAGCAAAATCAATAACAACAAGGTTTCAATGTACTCTTGGTGGCAATTCTTTGGTACTGTCATACAGGTCCAGAGCATCTCATGCAAGCCTTTTCTGCTTGCTTTTGAGACCCATTATTTATGAATTCCTAACCTGCAGCTCGTCTGTCTTAGTAAACTATAGGCCAGTGGCAATTTGTGTAAGCAGTGGCTAACTTTGCTTTATAGGGTCAGTGTTTTCAGATTTTGAATAGTGGGGGATGGGACAATGATAATCTTTGCTTTTGCTTTTTCTATTCACCTTCAGTGAGTTTTCCCCCCATTTATTTTTTCTATAGGCAGCAGCAATATTTAACTCAGCCTTTGGAAGTTTTTTGGTAAGTACACATGGTTTAACTTGTCTATTATAACTTTTCTTGTGATATTGTTTGTATGAAAGATTTAGTGAAATTGGACTTCTTTTACTATTTGGTTAAATATTAAAGTTTTTAAATCTTTTATACTCCATTGTCTATAACCTGGAGAAAAATCAGTTAATAAATAAAGAGAATTTTCTTCTACAATATAATTGGAGACTTGGGTCTAATATTCCATTTAATGGATTCATGGAATCAATTAAAACGCTATGTGTCTCCTTATAGAGGTTATGTCAATATATTGATCATTTAATGAGGTCTTTTAGATTATTATTATTTTGTATCATGGGACTGAGGATTTTGAAAAGGAAACATGACCCAGCTGGTTAGAAAGGGAATGCTAATTTACTTGTTGACATGTCATTTATTTTGTACATTTCATTGTCAGAGAAGCTACTGTCTTGGTTTCTTCTGAGAAATCTACGTGAAAAAAATTTGAAATGAGAAAATAACTAATGAGTAATTTGCAAGAAAATGCAATATTTTTTTGACAGGCAAACTATAAATTGTATGTAAAAAGATAAAAAATAGTTCAATTTTTATAAGTAGAACCAACATAATTATAAGAACAATACTATTTTAGCATTTTTAATCTTTATTTTTTTAAATAGATGATGTAACGAAGACTTGGTTGATGTTATGAAAGAACGAGAAAAAAGCTGAATTTTCTGTTAATTGAATATTTATACCTTCCCTAAAACTTAGCTAAACTCATGAAAATACATTGGAATACTGTATTTTTAGGTACATAACTTATTAGCAGATATGTAGTACAAATAATTGAGATTAGAATCAGTGAGGTATAAACTGGTTCATGAGTCCAGGCGAAATATCTGTTGCTTCTGTATAAAATGTTCTTGACGTCACTTATTGTATGTATTTAAATTGAGTTATGCCCTGGCCAGTTTGGCTCAGCAGTTGGAGCGTCGGCCTGCGGACCAGAGAGTCCTGGGTTCGGTTCCTGCTAGGGACACGTACCAAAGAAATAAGTAAATAAATTGAGTTAAAGCTTTTTAACATGCTGTTAATTCTACATAATTCTATACAGATTTTAATGTTTCGGTGTTACAGAACTTTTACTTACATAGCTTCCTTCCTCAAAATATGTTTAGAATAGATCTTATTTTTAAAGAAGTAGTGATGTTATTCCCGAAGCTGTATTATTGAGTTTAGAAGAGCGGTAATGGTGTCTATTTAATGAAAATGATCTCTTGAACTACTTATTTCAGACTCAAGATTTTAAATCATTATTGCATGTGTGCAAGTATTATTTTCTATATGTTGTCACATTGACAGAATACTGTGTTAAATATGATCTTGCCAGAAGCCAATTTTTATTATATGGTTTGGAACCATAAATGCACTATCGAAACGTGGTTTCCTAAGCTGGATCTCCTAGTCTTTCAAATGTCTCAAGTCTTTAAGAAAATGAGGTTGAGGCAATTGTCTGAGTAACTGGAGCAAAATGCACTGTCCCTTATTTGGAAAACAAGCTCAGTAGGTATAGTTTAAGCTTTGCACTGACTGGGATAGTGAACATGTTATGATATGTATTCTACAGGCCCCATTCTTTGATAAGGTCCAGTGAAGTCAGACTTGTCCTGGGAATCTTCACTTCTAAGAGTTTGTGCATTCTCACTTCTTAGTCTTCTGCTCTTTTTCCTCTCTTCATCTTCTGTCTTACCTCAATTCAATTAATCAATGAAAAGTACTGATTGATGTCCTGCCATACAGAGGTAGCTTTCTGATACCTGTAGGGGATGCAAAGAAATCTGAAGCAGGTCCCACTGTCCTGTGAAGATGACACATAGATAGAGAAATACAGCGGAAAAATTAAGTCAAAAGATGTTGCTGTCTGAAACCTGACTGTCAGAGGAAGAATTTGTGCACTCTGAATTCAAAGGTCAACGGAAATAGTTTCAGAGCTGGGCCTTGGAGTGGGGTAGGACTTCACTAGCTGAGGAGAAGAGAGGCCTTGGCAGAGCAGTGGCAGGGAGGCAGATGTGCGTTTTCCACTGCTCCTTCCACTTCATTTCCCTCCTTCTTTCTTTCCCAGAGTTGAAAATTACCAGAAAGGGTTTGAGAATGAAAATTATGATTGACGCTATGTTTGCTCAAGTGTTTCTTTTTTTCCCTTCTCCATCAGTTACAATAAACCTTGGACTATGAAATATGCACAAGTCTGAACTAAATCAGTTAGAATTGGGTCCAACTTTTTTTTAACAACAACAAAATAACAGTTTATACAAGATAAAGGCTTACTTCTCCATTAGGGAAGATCTGGAGGGAGTGTCCAGGTATGATAGACAGGCTTCATGGTTTCATTGTGGACCGAGACACCTACCTTTCTCCTCCATGCTCCACAGTGTAGAGCTTCCCACCTCAAGGTTGCTTCATGATCGAGACAGCTGCTGGAGCTCTGGCCAAAAAGGTACCTGGATGACAAGGTAAAGTGAGAGGACAAAAGAGCTCCCCTAAAAGCTAAATCTGCTTTTTCAAACAGCATTCCTGGAATTTCAGCACCATACTGGCAGTCATGTTTTATTGTAGAACTGAGTCATATGGTCATACCTCGCCCCTGGAGGGGTTGGGACATGTGGCAAGTTGCTAAGAGTTAACGTTTGGATTTCTGTTACTGAGGAATAAGAGAATGGGTCTAAGGAGGCAGCTGGCACTTTCTGCATAGGAACACTATACAGTGGTGGTCAAGAGTGTGAAGAAAGAGATTATTTCTTTTTTTTTTTTTTTTATCCTCACCCGAGGACATTTTTCCATTTTTTTGTACAGATAGAGTGGGAGGGAGAGAGAGGAAGAGACAGAGAGAGAGAAACATCGATGTGAAAGGGACACATCGAGTGGCTGCCACCGCACGACCAACCAGGGCCGGGGACAAACTGCAACCGAAGTACGTGCCCTTAGCGGGAACCGAACCCGGGTCTCTCCGGACCGCAGGCCGATGCTCTAACCGCTGAGCCAAACCGGCCAGGGCTGAAGAAAGAGATTAATCTCAGTTGAATGATGTGAGAAGTCTTTAGGGAGAAGTTGATGTTTGAATTGGGTTTGGGAAAAGGACTTATTTAAATTCTGAATTATAACCTTCATGTTTTATTTTGTTATTCTTCAAGGGTGGTACTTGTTAGAGTTGTGGGGGAGTTTTCTTTATAAATGGAATCTATCTATCTATTCTTAAAATTTAGTAGTATGGTTCTGGAGCCAGATTTGTCTGGGTTTCCATCCTTACTTGACTGAATACCAGCATAACCATATAACCTTCCCTGTGTGTAAAATGGGATGATGATAGTGCCCACACTGTGCAGATGTGGTGAGGATAAAATGGCATAAGGTGCTTGTGTGATGTGGTAGAAATAACTGATCTAGGTTTTGTCCAAGCTCTGCCATGATTTTGTGTGTGTGTGTATGGGGGGGGGGGGGGTTGGCCATGGACATTCATAAAATGAAGAAATTGGTTATCTGTGACTTAAGTCCTGTGAGTACTAAAATACACTGGTCCAGTGCTTATTGTCTGGTTATGAGTGACCATTTCTTTTGTATTTACATAAAGGAATCTGAAAAAGAGTATTTATTGTAGATAACATTAAAACTTTGAATGAAATTTTTTTATTAGAAGAATTTTTGAAGAACTCTGAGGGCATTCTTATTGGTTTTCAGACATCTGGGTATACCAAATAAAATATTGGCATGCATGCAGAAACAATGGACATGGACAACAAAGCCGGGGACGGGGTGGGGGGGATGGGGAGGAGGATGCCAATGGGGTAAAAAAGGAGGAACATCTGTAACAAAAATAAAATTAAAGAAAATAATAATAATAAAATAAAATATTGTACATATTTATAGCTGGTTTAATGTTCTAGGTCTAAAACACAGCATTTTAAAAAACTAATTGTTACAGAAAACTGTTTTGTTTTTTAATGTAGATAGGTTGGTAATAACCAGTGATAGATGAATTCAATTTACATAAATTTCAGACCAAGAGAATATTTTAAAATTGTGCCATAGAGGATTGCTTTAAGTTAAGAAGTTAATGTGATTATCCCCTCTTATTTAAATAGTTTGGTTTATAATAATTGTGACGCATAATAAGTGTTTTGAGATTTCCCTTGATGGGATTTTAATAAAATTGGATAGTCAACCACCCTGAATAGCTCAAATGTTATCAAAATTATATATATTTTTTCTATGTAAAACCATCTACTTCAAATTCAAACACCTGTTTTGCTTCCTTATGAAAAGGAAGATTTTTTAAAAACAGGTATTAGCAACTTTTTGAAAAATTCCAACTGAAAAATCCTTTCTTTAATTCAAAAAGATTCAACTGTGTTGAAAAAACTTTGGTCACATGGTTTGTTTGACCTTTAGAATTTCTGGTTTGGAAGCTGAATTTGATGTTTCCATGTCTTCAAGAATTATAGGTTAACATTTAAAGGAAAAGGTAGAACTTTTTTTTTTAGACTCCTCAGCCTACTTTATTATTTTTGGTAACTCCTGACCTTACAGGAAAACCCTAGTGAGTGACAAAGTTGATCATGCTGAATTGATTTTCTAATAACTGTTATACAACAGCATGGCAGTTCATGGCAACATAAAAGTGAGACTTTCTGAAACAATTGCAAAGAGTTATAAACAAAATTAAGTCATTTTAGTGAATACAGTAACACCTCTTCTGAAAAGATCTATGAGCCACTGGTTTGCTTTCTAAATCTTTTCATTTAAAGTATTAAGAGATGGGTTTCTTTTACATAAATTCTCTTAAAATAGTCATTGCTGAAACCTGAAGAGCTATTCTAGGATGAATAATTTTGTTTCTTTTCATGTGAAACCAAATGTTAAAGGAACTCCTTGCCTTGAGCTGAAGAACTAGCCAGCACATATGTTTCTTCCCTTACCTGTCATTCTGGCTTTCCTCTTTGCTTTGGCTGGATCTTCATTACTACCCAGCT